GGTGTGCAGCAACACAGGTTGGCCCGGCCACCAGCAAAGTCCCTCTTGATGACATTAAGCTCACTCATATAAAAACAGCAAAACCTCAGAGACCCCAACAGTTTCCTTGTTTTTTTTTGTTTTAATTGAAAACCAAAACTAGCTAATTTTGAGTTTGCACAAACATAGTCAACCTCTACTCCATATTCTGCCTTGGTTAGCAGCCTGGTATCTCAAGGTCCTCTCAGTGACTGGAAAAATTATTTTACTGCCTGACCTGATGTTCACCAGTCATAAGTTACAGTTGCATCCAATCCAATAAAAAAAAAGATGTCTGTGAACATTGACCAAACATTGGAGTGGATTGGAATGTACTGCATAGCCTCTGCTAAATATGAAGGCTAATTATTCTAAAGCAAACAAACTCACTCTCTGCTGTGAGCTAAAATCATCAATATAGAATAGAATAGAATAGAATAGAATAGAATAGAATAGAATAGAATAGAATAGAATAGAAAATCCCTCTATTGTCCCACAATGGGGTAATTCTGCTGTTTACAGCAGAAGGCAAAAAGATTATAGAAAAAAATTATCACACAAATGTGGACTAACATAATAGTGAAGAGGTAAAAGATAAATAATAAAATATTGTATTGTAGAGTGTTTTAACAATATAAAACTATGCACATGGACAATAAATAACCAATATATAGCTATGTACATTTTTACAGTAATGGATATTTCAAAATAGCAGCAACATCAGCAAAAGTGCAAAAATGACAGCAGCATGTTATTCACTGACTGAGGTAGAAAATCAAAATCAGTATGAATGTAACAAATAATTAAGGTTGTTGGGAACAGTGGTGGTAATAAAGTCTTACAGCAACTAAGAGGAAGGATCTGTGATAACGCATTTAGGGTGCAGCAGTCTGTCACTGAAGGAGCTCTCCAGTTCTTCAACAGCCTCGTGCGTGAGGTGGGAGACATTATCCAACAGAGATGTTAATATCATCAGCTGACATTACCAATTCTACACATCTTACGTTTACCATTTCTAATTTCTTCCTGTGGAAGAGGTTTATTGAAGTAGTTAATTGTTGAAGCTGGTAAAAAGTGATGAGAGTCAAGGTCTGTTCTCTAACTCACTACATAAATAAATATGTTTTGCGCAAATGTTTGTTTAAATCAGCGCAATTTCTTTCCTATCAAGTTAAATTGATAATCTGGGATAAAAAGACAAATCAGACGTTTTTCAAACCAAAGTAATCAGAGGAAGGCAGGTCATAAAGTTGACTGGAGCAAATAAAGGATTACAGTAGATGACCCAAAAAAACAAAAAGAAATGTTTCTGATGCCAAAAGGCCTCTAGCAATTTTTATAACACATTTCTACTTTGGTACAAAGAAATATATTTTTTTCTCCAACTTTTAAACAATAAAGAAACAATAAGCGTTAGTGGATTAACTCATTCCTACACAAACTGTATAAAGAGGAAACGTAATTTAGTTCAATTTAGGTGTATGTTCTCTAACATTTACAAGTTTGACCTTATATAACCCCAGTGATGCTGATATTTAGAACATGTTCGTTCAAGCCTGTAGTGGGTAGCAGTTACAGGATTTTAATAAGAGGACAAGAACTGCCAGAAGGAGCGTTTGGTTGAGAACAGCAATATAAATGTCTCATGTAAAAACATCTTACATACACTTTTTAGTTTTAATGCAGAATGTATCAATCAATGAAAGCTGCCCCACTCAGGTTTCTATCCGTGCTAAGGTTATGACACACAGCAAAACATGTTGCACTATGCAATGCTTACTTTCGTGGTAAAGATGAACAAGTGAATACAGATTTTTTTAAGCTGTGTTACAAAACTTCTGTCATTGGGATCAAAAGAGGGATAGAGGCTCATTATTGAGCCAAATCCATGGATAGCGAAACACAATACAGAGACTTTCTATAAACCAGCCAGTGAACTGAGTACATCATGTGGTGTTCAGGGAGACTTATTTAAAGACGACATTCCAACAACTGCAGTTAGAGATCAGATCATAACTCCTGAATGTAAGTATGAAACACAATGTATTTGCGTGAAACGGAGAGCTTCGCTGCAGGCTCAGGAATGTTGGCACCAAGCATGCAGTCCTGACAGACAGCTGCACCGCTGTGGCGTTTTTAACATGCCAGACCAAGGATCCGAGGCTTGCTGGATCATTAAAGAAAAAAAAAAAAAATCCAAGTTGAAAAGAAATGCACTGAAAATGGGATTTCAGATTAAGGTGTCAGTGACTAATGGAGAAAAAGAGGAAAAGCCAGGCCTGGCAGGGGTTGGACGTCGATCATAGGCAGATTTATTCGGTTCCATTCATCAAATAGAAACTATTTTTTAATACATTTGGGGAGCTTCCCATATCCATGCATGCTTAGTGTGATAGACAGAGTCCATCACAATTTTTTTCCTCCATGGTGGCAGTTTTTAACATGGGTTAAATGGCTTTATGAATAATTTTTTCTCCCTGAGATTTGCATAAAATTACTCATTTCCCTACATACGCCTCCATTGAGTTTTGCAAAACATGCATACCCCTAAAACTTTCTAGCATTTCATTACATAAAAATTGAAGAAAGAAATATTTCCTATAAGTTTTCCAGATTTTTCTGAAAAATTATATACTGGCCAGGAAGTTCAATTTGGTCTGGAGCACCAAATTTCACACATATTTATTTGGTTAGAGTCAAAGCAAAATGACCTCCATTCCAATTGAATAACACATTAGATGCTCGTTTAAAAAACAAAAAACGAAAGCCATCCATCATTTTTCGTTTCACTTTACATTCATGAATGAAACTCACAATGACATGTGTGTCTTTCTATTAATCAATAGAACTCAATAATCCTTTCTTTGCCATGCTTTGAAACAACAAAGCTATGAGTGGTAAAAGAATAAACAGACCAGGAAATTATTAGAAAATACATTTTTTACTCATGAAAAAGTAAAAAAAGTAAAAAAAAAATCTACTTTATATTTCTGTCATTCAGAGGCTTAGCTAGATGGGGGGCCATGGCCACCCTTAGCCAATCATTGGCCACCCCTGTGGCCACCCCTACCATTTTCCCCTCTAATACAGACGGTGACATTAGTAATACTCTAAAGGGGAATGTTCAAACTTGTTAAACATTTAAAATTGTCATATATTAACAACTACTTGACAACAGAAACACTGCGGTTAATTATGCACATCAATATACAAACATTAAAGATGATAGATAAAGAATTCATGCTCTTTTCAGAACTAAATTTAGAAATATTTGGGGTAAAGATAAAATTATGTGCCTCTGCAAGTCATCTAGGAGTCTTCAGTGAAATCATGGATAAATAACTACTTTAATAATAACATAAAAATTCATTAAATGTGGATATTAGTAGATTTAAATATCTTTTTTTTTTGCAGAATGATTATTGATAAAAGTATTTAATGACAATTGAAATATGTTCTACCCAGAACTCAAATCTCAAAGAAATTTGTTTCTATTCACACAGCATATATGGTTGATTCTTTAACTACGGGTACTTTTATGTCCTTTGATCATATTTCATGAAAAAAATGTAAAAAGAGACATTTCAAACCTTTATAGTTATCTTTACAATGAAACTGTTTTAGGACATTTGTTTTAGTAATCTGACTTTTTCACCTTTTTTCAGCCTCATTTATATGTAAATATTACCGTTTTGTGCTTGTCCCATACCCAGACTTTTGATCTTAAATGATAAAAAGAAATAGTAAAGAAAGATTTTTTTTTTAATGTTTTAAAATATCATTTTATAAAATATCAGTAAAATAATCAAACTATAATTGGAGTATTTAATGTCATACAGCTGTTTATGTGATTTTCTAAACCAATTGTAGTTGTCCCACACTATTGTTGTAATTTCCACCACACCATTTGTTTTTAAATAAATTGTTGCAAAATTCTAATCACTCATGAAAACCTTCATAACTTAAGAGATAATGCTCCCCTTTAATTAAAAACACAAGTATTTACACCTTGAAATGTATCTTGCGATTCCAATGCTATATCTCAGGTTACGGGGAACATAACAATAAAGGCATAAACAGTTAAAACTATATATGAAATTGTTCTCCCACTGAAAAAACATTTTGTATATCATAGTATTTTAGAATAAATTACAAATATATGTGACGGAAATTACATTTGTGCCAGCCGAGTTGGGAAACCTGTTTTAAAAAAAAACAATTTGTCTTAAAAATCAGTGTTTTCTCTTATGAATCTTCAAACTAGACTAGTTATGCTCACCAATGACATTTTGAGAACTTATATTTTATTATAATTTTTCTCTTCAAGTTTGCAAGGTCAATAGTGTAAAGTTAAAGAAACACCCATGTTTAAATATATGTGTCTATTCGTTAGTAAAGGCTGCAGGAAAGTACAGTTTGTCTTTATTTAGAAAATATGGATGTTTTGCGTGTTCCTGTTGGAAGAGTGTAGATTGACCCTGAGGTTCTGGTGCTTTTCGGCCACCCCTCAAAGTTCATTGTTTATTGACTAGCCACCCCTGTTAGGATTTTCTGGCTACGCCTCTGCTATCATTTTCAATTCAACTAGAAAATGTTTAGAAAATCCCATTTATTTTGGAAATTAAACCAATGTTCAGCTGATAAGGTCACCTTATTTGTGGGCAAGCACAAACATGAACGCAAACAACTTAACACTTCTGAGTATTTGACTCATCGTGAACTTTTTAAAGCTCCACTTTATTTCCCCTCATAATCACTCACCCGCAGCCTTCATTGCTCTCTGTGCGCTAAATGCCGCCTGGTGCGCCCTGTTTATTTTGCACATGTTCGGTGCCGCCCTGCAGACGCGCTGATATCACGCCGTTGCGTAATTTGACAAGCCAGTGCAAACCAGAGGAGGATGAGCGTTTGACAGCTTGTTGCGAGGGATTGTTTTCGATGCAAACATAGTCCATATGTGCTGAAATCATTGAGAGATCTTTTTATTTTTTATTTTTTTAATCTGTCTTCCATATTAATGGCCGCAGCCGTGACCAATTCGTTTTGGGTTGCTCCGGGGCAGGACGCGCAGTTTGTCCATAAAACCCACCCAGCGGCGCCGCTGACATCATCCGACGGTTTTAGGGGTGAGGATCATGGACAAGTGCTTTGTAACGTCGTCCCGGGAATATCATCCTTCCCGGATTATAATCTGGTAGGTTGGCTGTATTTGAACTGCCTCACAGCATCACTGTATCTCTCTTTTATTTTTATTTTATATTTCTGTTACGCACTGATTCTGCGTTAAATAAATATTTTCATTTCAATCAAATCTAATCCAATATTGATGGCTGCTTGAGGATTAGTGCCTAATATGTGAGGTTGACATTCACTTGCTGTGCTGGGATGAATGGGATGTGCACCCGTCCAGAAACTTGTCCTGCCTATAGTCCTGCAGAGCAACTGGGTGTTCTAATTTCAGCTGTGTATTTGGAAATAGTTTACATGCAGGCTGGAGCATTTGCATGGAGCTGCTTGTAAATCGGAGCTGTGGTTAAGATGACTTTCTATTGAAAAAAATCTTACTTTGGTAGACAGTATCCTACATGCAGGCCCCAAGGTGTTTTTGATCCTTTGCTTTTTAGCATGCAATGAAGCAAAAGCAGGAAAAAAAACCTCTTGATTTCACTTCTTGAAACCTTTTGTTACATACTAGAAATAAATAAAAGGTACTATTTTTGCAATTCTAGTCCTGGATTAAAAAAACAATCAGGTCATAATTCAGCTTTCTGGTTTAGATGTTTAAAAGCACCAATGTTTAACATTTGTGAAAATTAATGTCAGTTTAAAATGTATCACCAATCAGTAGCTTGCCTTTAGTAGCTACTTTAAAGCTCTCATATATTCATTTTGCATAAATCCGAATTAGTTGGTTATTATGGCTTTTCTGTGAGGAAAAAAAAGTTGAAACAAACTTCTACCATCTCAAAATGCTTTCAGTCTCAAAAACCTCATAATGGAATATGCTTAATCTATTCGACTGACATTTAAACCACTGTTTTGTTGTTTGCTTTTGATTGTTATTCACACACAGTAGTGGACCCAGAGAATTTTCATTGGAGTGGCTTGGCATGGTCCAACACCAGTTTAGGATTAGTCTACACCTATCGCAATGTACCAACAGAAACATGAACTTGTAAAACATCAATATTTATCCATATTCAGACTTTCATAAAGCCCTGGCTATTAAATGAATATGCATATTTATAAACTGGCACTGTTCTACATAATATACACATTGAATTGGTTGAGAAGTGGTTCTTCATTGCTAATATAGAAGACTACCTTCCCATAAAGCACAAAACCTAGCTCTAAAAACACAAAACTTAGCACTAATTCTTTAAATGTCCCATTTAGTATTTAATGTAGATATTTAAAATATTACTGTCATTATTTTGTCAATTTATTGTTAATATAATGCCAACTGAAAAACCAAGTATCCCTGCTGCCACCCTCTGTTTTAGAGGTGAACTGCATGTTCTGGAGGTTGTAGTGTGTTCCAATGGGTACAACAAATCACCAGGTTTGGGTGGCCACTCATTGGCTTTATCAGGGCCTTTAGCTCCGCCTCTGTTCACACGAAAGTTGCCAATTTACATGTTAAAATTAATGTAGGAATGGGTGTCACCAGCGATTTTCTTCTGTGAAATGTGTTACAAAAATCATCTAAAGCTTTCAATTACCATTATGATACCTGCTTGAAGAGATTTCTGATTTAATGGTTTCCTCTGCTAGTTCAATGAAATGTATAAAGGATGGTCAAATTGATGTCTTGTTGCAGAAAATTTCTTTTCATACTAAAAAAAAAAGTCTGGTTGGAAACAACCACCTCTGCAAAAGTACAAAATTGAATTCAATTGAATTGATCTGAATGAATGACCACCAGCCGGCCAATGTCTAGCCCTTTTGTTCCCGTGTTTGACTAAAACCAATCCTCCATCTAAAGTGAATAATGCTGTTATTTGAGTTAAAAAGTAAAATGTATTTCCCTTCTGCTTTTTTGACCAGGTTAAAGCCGAGATGGATGCCTACATACATCAGGATACAGTAGACTCCAAAATGTTTGACAAGGATGGTGCCTCTATGCTGGAGCCATCATTTATTGAGGACTTCGCCACTTCTTACAGCGTCAACATGAGCCTGTTCCTCCCTGATGCTTCCTACCTGCACCCTGGCCTATGCCGGACTGTGAAGCAAGTCAAAATGGAGCCACAGCCCTCCCTGATACACCCCACCTGCCAGGGCAATGAAGCACCAGCAATGCTGCCAGAGTACTCAGGAATGTATAAAGCAGTCGACAGTCCAGGTAATTTTTTCATCAAGCAGGAAGCACCAGAATTCCAAGAGATTCCCCAGTTTCAGATGCTGAACACTGATTTAGAGCAGGACTCTTTCCCCATCACACAACTAAGTCTTCCAGTGAGGAATCTAAACGTAAGAGAACTATCCAGCAGTTCACTGACTGTGACTGAGTGTTTTCCATTTAATCATCACTCTGGCCATCAGTTTAGGTCAAATTATTTGCCCCCATCTCCGCCAACTTCTGAGCCTCCAAGTCCAGACGTAAACAAGGAGCTCCTTCTTAACATCTCCCCTCCTCCTTCCTATGAGGCCAGCATTGCCTCCAAGACAACACTTCAGACCCACAGTTCCACTGGATCCAGACAGACTTCCGGCAATTCTTTGAGTAAGAACCTCGACCAAAATTACACTCCTAAATTCAGCCGTAGTCCGGTTGTTGGAGCGGTTCAAAACTTGAGCCTGGCACCAGCTAACACAGCGCCATGTGTTGGCCCACTGTCTCCAGAGTTGGCCCAGTCTGCTCCGGTCAAGTACAACCGGAGGAATAACCCTGATCTGGAAAGGCGCAGGATACACCACTGTAATGTTGAAGGTGAGAATATGAAGTGGTACTGGTGGCAGTTATGATAGGACTTTGTAAAATGTATATCTAAAAGTAGTTATTCTCTCTTTTGAAGGTTGCAAGAAAGTATACACAAAGTCTTCTCATTTAAAGGCTCATCTACGGACCCACACAGGTAGACTCCTTTCAGCTCCACATCTTCTAATGGGAGGGAACATGATGATGTTGCCAGGCAGAGAAGTTTTCTTGGCTTGCATGTTCATTCTCTCTGGCCCACATCTTGCTGCTGTCAAATCACATAAACCCTCCAGCTCTCATAAAGAGAGGGGAGGTGGTAGATGCATGCAGTGATTTATAGCCCACAGATGAGGTGTACTATCAATTTTGTTCTTCTTTTCCAAACTCCTTTATTAGATGTGTGCTGTCAACAAAGTGCTGATATCCTCAAGGGACGATGGGGAGGGGGGGTGGTAAATCCCAAAAAGTTGTGGAGTATGCTTTAGCTTCTCTGTTTGATTTCTACTTGGCAAAGGTGAGAAGCCGTACCAGTGTTCCTGGGAGGGATGCGAGTGGCGCTTCGCACGCTCTGATGAGTTGACACGACACTTCAGGAAACACACCGGGGTGAAGCCTTTCCAGTGCGGCGTGTGCAGCCGCTGCTTCTCACGTTCGGACCACCTGGCCCTGCACACGAAGAGACACCAGAGCCACGGAGCCCCTTAGCTGCATCTTCATGGCTTCTACCAAACGTGGGGGAAAATGGAGTAAAAAAAAAGACAGCAGTTTATTCTATTTACTCTCAATAGAGACAATTTGATGTTCTGATCTGACACTATTTGACTTTTTTTCTATGTGTCGAATCAGATTGTTGCCTTACTACAAATATCTCATCAATGGAAGACTTATCAGTTAAAACTATTTAACCAGTTGTGTCCTTTTGAAAGCTTTATTTTGTTAATGCACAGATATGAACAGGTGACATTTTTATATCTGGACTGTTCATGGTGAAGATCATTTTAGCTTTTTGCGAAATTAGTTATGGTTTTATGTCTGTGACCTATGGAGAGTATTGGCAGTTAAGGAAAGCTGGACACGCTGGATGAAACACTTTGGTGTAGAGCACAGTTTTGTCATGCAGTCTGTGCATAGTCATATTTTGACTTTAATGCTGCCAGGTTCACAGGAAGATTTTTTTTTTCCTTATTCAAAGGATAATGTTTGGTGTTAAATGACAATAGATAAGATTTTTTTTTCCTTTTTTTGTCATTCACTGTGTCACCAAAACATTTTAATGTAAAACAAAGATAACCTGAGTAAATATAGTCTTTGAAACGATGAGCAGTTTTCTTATCCATCCATTGTTTATACCTGCCTTTCTAAGAAGTGTGCAGCTGGTAGAATGAGGCAGGATACACCCCGAAAAATTTGCTCATTCATCACAAGGCAACTTGGAGACACACAGGACAAACAGCTATCCAAAGACACACTCAAAAGGGCAATTTAGAGTAACCAATAAACCAAGCATTTATATTTTAGGACTGTGGGTTGAAAGCCAGAGTACCCAGAAAGAAAATCTACACATGCAAAGGGGAGAGCATGCAAACTCCCAGGACCTTAGATTCCAACCCAGGACATTCTGGATACAAATGAACAGTGCTAACTGAGCCCACATGCAGCCAAAATACCACAATTGAGGGAAAACAAGATACCAACTTTGTCTTTTGGGAAAACTGTGATTAACCAGATTTTCTTGGTTCAGTTTCAGTCGCCACACCCAGGTTTGCTTACTGTCTGACCAGTAGAAAACAGAAATCATGTCTGAGAACATGAGGTAAGTTAAAATTACACTGAACTGCAAAAAAATCAAACAATAGAACTAGTTAAAAAACGAGGTTTATACGAAATGTTAAAACTATTTTTAAGATGTTCAGAGTTCAGTTAACAAAGGGGGAGGCAGTTTTTAAACAAAATAGGCAATGAACATTGTTGAAACTAAAATACTCCAAGATTCATCCTGGATCTCACCAACATGGAGCAATATCTAAACTACTGCAGGCTAGGTGCATCAGCCTCAAATCTGTGCTCAAGATTAAACAATAGCAAAAAAGGTCTATGTAGAGGAAAGAAAGTTTCAAAACTAACACCACTGTCTATCTAAAATATCGCAAAAGTTCATTCAAGGTTTCTGGGGGATCGTCAATATGATTTTTTTTTTGGCAAATAGGATGTTTAACCAAGAACCTTATGCTTCCTAATAAGTGTTTTTCTGTTAAACCTCAGTTTAGACCATTTTAGAGTAAGTGCTGTCTATTGGAATGTGTTGGAGGGGGAGGATTTTTATTTTCTAAAACTGCAATATCAGGCAAAGTTTTTAAAACTGTACCTAACCCCGTCTAGCTGAAAGAGATTAAGATTCAGTGTGTATATATATATATATATATATATATAGATGGATAGATAGATAGATAGATATAAATAAGGATCAGAAACTGACTTACACAAAAACTATCCATGTCTGCAATCTTTATAGAATTGTCAAGTTGCAGATGAGTGGAAACTTATGCAACATCACAATTTAGATTTAACCGAAATCCGTTTTTAGCAGGAAGCAATTAAAATAGTCATCTTTGACCTTATCTTTCTCTATGACACCTTTGCAAAGAATGTATGACCCACTGATATTAAAGGGTAATGATCACTTTTAAGGTTAGATCCAGTGTTAATTTTGAAAGTTTATTTTCATTTAGTTTGAGCCATTTTTAAAATAATTTATAGATTCTAATTAGTCTTTTGTAGTCATTTTTTGTTTCAGTCAGTTCAATCTTATGAAATAATTAGTCAGATATTGTCTAAAAGATATAGTCATATATGAAAGAATTTTAGGTGATTCATGTTTGGGGAATTTCTAAATTACAGATATAGGAAATAAATTTACTCGTACTTTGCAAGAAAACACACATTTGGTTACTTTAAAACTAGTAAAACTACATATAACTTGAGTAGTTCTGTCTGATATATATTAGTTAACAAATATGTCAGCCATTTTTTATTAAAATTCCTGTTTGACATTTAAGTTAGTTTTGGTCTCCAGAAAAAATGTGATAAAAATGAAAGGTTTTATCACAAAACCTAACAATTCTCCCTCCATGGCAATTTCATATTGTTAAATTCTGAGCTTTAATTTTCTATCCAGTCTTTCTCTTTTCAGCTATTTCTGCTTTAAATCTGCTTGTTTGATTTTCCTATTAGAGGATCTAGTTTTTGGGGAGACTTAAGCTTACAGACAGATGACCTCACTGGTGTTTTAAACACCTGGCGGATTAAAAAGCTGAAATAAAGTCAGAAGTATGACTTACAGCTCATCTCTATCATGTTAGTTTGAAATTATAAAATCATTAGTTTTCTTGTCAGTTCAAGTCATGCGTTATCTGGAATTTTATGATTAGTCTGATCTAAACCATTATTAGAACCGGTTTTAGACGCAATTGGGGCACACAACAAGATGTCCTCGTCTTTATTACAGTTTGCAAAAAGTGTGCTTGTGACATGACTCATAGAGAGGGTTCCGACAAAGGGTGCCAAGAAAGCCAGAGAAGATGCCTGAGCTTGTTCTAAGAGTCAAGAGACGTACCTGCATGCAAGGACAAATTAATGCAAATTTTTTTCTGTACATATGACTCAACATGATTTTTACAGCATAACATCTAGGAAGTGATAAATCTTGACTACAGTACAAACGAGGAATACTTTGTGGAGTCAGAATAGCTAGTAATCATCTAAATTCTTTAGCTGCTGACAAAAACATTCATCCAGATCTGATTATAATAGAGCAGAGTACAGGATGTTCAGGGTGTTTCCTTTAAACTGTAACCTGTTCTTGGAAACCGCATTGGCTTCATGCTGGGTTGGAGCATACCAGGTCTTAAAATATCGCTCTCTGTTAGTACCGGATTATAGCAACAAAGCGATGTGGTTTTATTCTGAGATTTATGATGTTTTACATAGAAGTATGAAAACATCAAAGCAAGAATGTGACTTCCAACTAGGTTAATTGATGCATTAAAAACACATACTCACTTTATATTGGCTATAGTTCAAAATGGTTCAGTTCAGGTGTGCAATGGCTCAACTGTTGGGTGGGAAGTTATAGGTGGCGAGGATGACTGTAGTGGACTGATTGTCTCCTGCCAGTTCCAATACTTAGATTTAACGCTGACTGATTCCTGGTTCATTTGGCTGTTTTAATCAGTTTTGTTTTTAAATTGACTTGTTTTTGGCTTTTTTTTTTATCATTTTCTTAGTCTCATTGTTTTCTATTTAGGCTCAGAGCTTTTTCTCATATAAAAAATGCACATATTTGGGCTGAATCGAGCTGGTTGGAAAGTAGCTTCTTCAAGGTTTGACACCAATAAAATTAATGTGCTTCTTTGTCAGAGGGAGCATATTGTGGCCTCGTCAAATAATTAAAAAAAAAACATAAAGCCTTAAGCCAAAAGTTTTATTTACATATATAATAGCTTTTGCCTCCTAATAAAGTTGTCATTTAAAAAATTATTTTTCAGTTGGTCTGATATTAAGATTTATTAAAAGATTTGATACATTTTAAGTGTTATAAATAAAAGAAAAAAATAGAAGAGATCTATAATGGAGAGAAATACTTTTTTCAGGCCTGTTTTAACACATTTTGCTGCTGCTTTTTTATTTATTGTTGTTGATTAATGCTGTCATATACTTCAGGGGGTGTTTCTGCAACTCCAGCATCTCACTTGCTGTACTCCACACTAATGGTTTCCATCAAATCCAGATTAGGTTTCTGAATGCCAGTGTGAGTACAGCTCTCAAATGTCACTCAAATGTGTCACTGAAACCGCATTCCATCCATCCCAATCATAGATAGCAAAGGGCTTCATCCCAGTAGTGTTACATACAAAATGCAACTTTATTAACCTTCATGCCTCCATTCATTTCAATATACATGTATATGTTTCAACTTATCTTAATTTCACAGCTCCATCCATATGAAAAAATACAGGAAAAAAAAGGCAAAACACTGACTTGTTACTGAAACAACTTTTGGAGAAAATAAAACTGTAACAGGGGGAAAAAAAAGAGAAAGCAAAAGGACACCTGCTTTTAAAGTTTTTAAAAATACCAGGATTAAAAATGTCTTTTTTTTCCCATTAGCAGAATCTCCCTTTTGAAAACAATATCACATTTTATTTTCTCACAGTAAGAATGAAAAGATCTGAATATATTTACACAACACTCACTTTACATAAATACAGGAACAACAATTACTGTACGGAATATTAGCAAACTTGAAACATAGGCATTGGCTTCACTACTAAAGTTTTCAAAACCAGAAAAATGAAATACGATGTTACACTTAAATTAAAATATTTACTTAACTGATTGAACGCCTCAAATCATCAGCGAAGGCATCAAATTACCCAGCTGTGGGTTTGATTCCTCATGGCCTAATATGAAATCACTGTGCTGAAGCTGAAACATCCAGAGGTCTTTGTAACTCCGGTTTATTGCCCTTATGGAGAGGGACTTATTGCAGCCAAAGTAATGTGTGCTTCAAACTGGTGTTATTGTGGGACACTGCGTTTGACACTGTGATATATAAGGCTCAGTGCGAAGGATAGGTTCAACATTAGAGGTCCGACTTGCATATTGTTGTCTGTGCTTTTTATCCCCAAAATAATATAAATAATAAAAAGAAATCACTGTTTCTCCTTTTGAAATGTAGCAGTTGAAGAACAAGGGTTGGAATCATAACGCTGCACACAGCGGTTGATATTACAAGTTTGTGGTATGAGGCACTATTTATCATTATTGCATAACTTTGACCCTGGTTACCGTAACAAAATTATGCTTTAAAAGGAGCAAAGAGATGGTGTGTGTGTGTGTGTTGGGATGGGGGGGATTAGGAAAACAATACACCCTGCCTCCGTGGAGACATCATCAAGTCTGATTGAACTGTTTAAACACTGGTGTATTAAGGCATCCGACATCATAAAAGGATATACGGAATAAAAAGTAAATGTGTTGATATGTGAGATTGATTTGTGTATGTTTTTATTTTTATCAGGGTACAGTTGAAATCAGATGTTTAACTACACTGGATTATAGGACACAAATGCTGTATCTATGATAAGGTCAGACTGAACTTTTAATAAGCCGATTAACTAGGATTGCCAAAATTATTTCTATTTTTTTTTTACACATTTTTTATGACTTTCTTGAAAAACTTATTAACAGTTCAAGCAATTTCGAAAAGCCCACAGTATGTTATGGCTTTGGAAGCTTACGTTGATTGATTCAAAGCAGCTCAAAAACATTGCTTTCATGCGTGGTATGATGGAAAAAACAAAAGTATTATAGTACCAGAAAATATTAGCCAAATGATCAGCCTGGTTAGCCCTTCAGATACGATTGTTCCTTTGTGGTATAAATAACAGGTGATGGTTTACACATCATACTGTTAAAACGAACCGTTCCTGTGTCCCAGGGGTGAATATGTTTTGGTGCTTAATGTGATTTTTAACTAAGGCAAAATAAAGTGTGAATAAAGAAAAGTTTTTTTTACTAACATGGGCTGAAAGGCCACTTGGCAAACAAGAAGCAATCAATCCAAAAGCAATATAAAAAGCCAGATTTCCATTTGGAAAGGAACACAGCGATTGAAACTTTAATAGTCAAAGACGGGATCTGATGAAACAAGAGCGTTTGGCCATAATGACCATTGTTACGATTGGCGGATGAGGGTACAAAAATGGCAGCTTCAGGCTGCAGGTCTGGTCAAGTAACACTGAAAGGTAAAAACGGGTCATCCAGATGAATAATCATCTTAAACATCCAGCTGGATAAGTTAGAGGGTGGCTTAACAATGACAGTCAATATTATTGAGGGTTGCCAACACATACCTTTGATCTCAATCCCTTAGAAAATTAGTGGGAAGAGCTGAAAGGCAGCCAACGAACCTGACCCTGTTGGACTGGTTCTATGAATAGGAATAAGTCAAAATTCCTGTGACGACTATAATAAACTTCTGGCAGGTCACCAGATAAAAGCCTATTCTACCAAATACAAAGGAGTTTAATAAAATAAGGTGAAAAATATATATTTTAAAAATGCTTCCTCGTTATTCTCGCCTTTTAGCAAATAGAAATAATTATTTTAAACCCAAGTGACCTAAAAAAAAAAAGAATAATTTGATCTCATTTACCATGAAAAACTGAAAAAAAAGAATGTGTATGTAAATATCTGGTTTCAACTGAATGATAGTAAAATGGCAACAGGGGCAATCAAGTACCTTAATACAGTCAGTGTATATAAATAATTAGTTGTTTATAGCAAACACCGATTTTGCCTTATAAAATAAAAAAAGGACAATTTGACCATGAATTTGTCTAAATCCAAGCCAGAAAAATAAAAAAATCAAATTTCTATATAACATCACACATGATCATTTACATGATGAACACCTTTAGCCCGTTTTAACTGTATATCAAATTAGATAAATTACGGTCTCAGAAAAAAAGACTTTACGTGTATAAATGTATCTCCTGCATCTACAAATCGAAAGCCCTATTTCTCCATTGTATGTACAGGTTGTAGAACTTTGTAATAGCTTTGTATCTTCACTATCACATATATTACAACATTTCAAAAAATCATTATTTTTTTTCCACATTGGAGAAAGAGTTACAAGCCGTCCCATGAAGTGCCCCTCGATCATAAAAAAATTGTCTTAATACATTATACGGATGATAAAATATGATTATTTTGTTCAGAAATTGACATCTGGAATAAAATATCTGAAAGTCATCTCGATAAACAAAGAAGGTGCTAATATGCTTTTGCCAAAATGATAATATAATTGGGTGTAATGACATGTGCACAAATAATATACATAAATAAAGAACATACAAGAGGGATGCAAAAACTCTATGGAAACTGTTCCCTGGGTTTGGCTTCTTTACTAAAAGTGAGAGCTTTCAAGTGTGCATGTGTGTGTCTGTGTGGAGGCGTTAGTGTATGAGTGTATGGATTTCAAGATACCTTAATCAAAAGGTTGTTGTGTCTTCTTACTGGCTTCTGTCCAATAACTGCATTTGGCAGAACCATCGAATAACATTGGTTGGCTCTGTACCTAAGGTTTGAAGCTTTTAAACAGCATAAAGAGCACTGGATATACTTGAAAAAAGAAAACGAAACGCCTGCCTTCAGACTATAAAAATACACTTTTAATTTGATTCCCTGATTGAGGTCAAGTGATGTGATATTTCTGCCAGTAACAGCATCTAAGATCTTCCTCTGTGATATAATGTAGGGATTAATATCTGTGTTTTGTGCAGTGCATTGCAAAAGTACTCGGACTCCTTGAACTTTCTCAAATTTGACTATATTACAACCACAATTCTGTATATTTTGTATTAGTTTTAATGTGTAGACTGACTCAAAGTAGCAGATAATAACAAAGTGGGAGTAAAGTGATGACCCTTCCTAAACTTTTATCATCAAGAAAGTGTGCTGATGTATTCAGCTGCCTCTACCATAATGCCCTCTAATAGTGTGCCTTCAGATGTCACCTAGTTAGTAAATAGAGTTCATCTTTATCTTAGAATAAATGCATATTCTATATTAGGGCCTAAGCATGTTCTTAGAGAACACTGGTGAGATCAGCTTAATGAATACAAAGGAACAGACCAGATAGGCCAAGGAGAAATATGTGTTCAAAGTAGGGCTTGATTCTTAAAAAAGGATCACAAGCTTTGAATATATTTAAAGAAATGTTCAATATATAAAATTGGAAAGAGAGAAATTAAACTGCAGATCTACAGTTAAACACTGCATTAATGAGAGGAGCTGCAGAGAGGTGCATAGCTTCTCTTAAGGAGCTGCAGAGAAACGCAGATCAGGTGAGAGAATCTGTTAACAGAATAACCATTAGCAAACATGTGAGAGAAGATGCCCTGGCTAAATGACATCAAAATCAACCCCACCCAATTCTAGAAAAAATGCTACCTTATCTTCTCTCTTAAACATGGTAGTGGCAGCATTATTCTGAGGGGTATTTTTCTCTCAACAGTAAATGTAAAAACTGAATTAAGCTAAAACTACCCAAAAATAGCTTTTAAGAGGCTGCCAAAGACTTAAGCCTCTGGAGGTTCACCATCCAGCAGGAAAACACAACCCTACACATACAGAGCTCCAGTTTGTATGTTAAAATGGACAAGTCAATATCCAGATATAGGTCCCATTGAGATTATCTATGGCAAGACATCGAAAACTGAATACTCTCCATCGAATCGAAAGTATTTTACCAATTATGAGCACAGATTTCAACCTCCAGATGTGCAAAGCTATTTTTTCTACAAAGTACTTCTAAATCAGAGATGCTGAAGACATACAAACTCTCACTTTTCAGATCTTTATTCATTTACAAAAGAATTATATTTATCAATTACTTCTACTTGACAACTACGTGCTACAAATTGTGTAGGGCTATGACAAAGAAACCCAACAAAATGCACTGATTTTTTGTCGTTGTAACGTAACAAAATGTGAAACAGTTCAAGGATTTAGACTATTGCAAGGCACCATATGTATATATGGTATTCTGTATGTTACTAGGTGTGCAACTCCTGCATTTTAAACACCAAACTTTTGGTAAATAACCAACAAAACCGCCCAAAGTGAGGTGAGAACATTTCAAGCAATGTTTATGTAAAATATAAATAAAAAAATGTCAGATGATGTGGGATAAATGACCAGCTGAGACTTCACTTTGTGACTCAGATATTCAGAAACAGAGCGAGGCTGACCTGGTTGACATCAACAAAGATTTTAGATCAGAATGTATTGCTCTTCTGTGTGCAAGATTTTCTCTGTCAATCTCCAGCTGGTGTCAGTGACAGCTTGTGGTGAAGGGGCGCTTTGCTGTATGAAAACTACCAAAAAATTTCCATGTTTCGGTTTGATTTCATTGGAGGAAAAGTGGGTTGACTGATGAGCACAGGTGAATGGGGACAGGATGAAAGTCTCTAAGGTGCCTCTGTTGGTTTTCTTTTTCCACAGACTCTCCTCCGATTGTTTCAAGGTTCGCTGTACACAAGGGGGTTGTATTTGTCAGAATTAAGCATAAGCAATAAGCAGGTATTTAAAAAAAAAAAAGCAAGATTCAATAAAGAAAACTTTTTTATACTGAAAGTTTATATATATATATTTATATATATTCTTTAAGATTGCACTTTACTGATTGCTAATCACAGCTCAAAATCCACATAAGATTTGCTTGAAGAAAATTATTTTAAGAGGCTCAAAATAAAGAAAAGCACTGATGAAGAATGGGGTTTGTCCAATGTCCATGTGATAAAATGGTGCGTCTTTGCTGGTGTGATGATTAGGCATGTCCAGGTTCTGCTGTTTTGGAAAAAAGCAGCTAATGGTTGACTGGGTGGATGTGGGGATAAAGATGGATCCAGGTGAAGATATTTGCACTTTGCTTGGTGGAAAATGTGAAAGCCCAACCCTCCTTCAGCTTCTGAAAGAAAACGTAATCGCTAAGAAAACCTGTGATCAAACACTGCCCTCTGCTGGCCATGTGTTAAACTCACAGGGGGGGCAAGCAAAACAATACTGTCTCTGTAATTCCAACTCAGGCCAAGTCTTTCTTGTGGAAATCCGCTCCAGCTCTGATTTCAAAGGGGTCTTTCACATTTTGCATGCTGGAAAAGCAGCTGTAATGTAAAGTGAGTAAAATCCAAATTTAAAGAGTGCCACTTCATCCTAAAAATCAAAGTGAAACATCACCAAACAGTGCTGCTCATAACAGTTCCCTATTGTTCGCCGATGATGGTTAAAGATCCTGTCATCGCTTCCTATTAATCCAAAAGGATCCAGAAGTCCCCTTGTTTTCTGCTCCGACCATCCATCCAGCTTCTCAATCTCAGGATGCCAGCGTGTGTATGTGTGTGTGTGCTCATCTGTGTTTGATTTTGGGCGTCCAGGCCTGCTGAAGAACATTCAAAGGGAGATCCTGCTCCCTTGGCTGCCTGTGTGTGTACGTGTGGATGTGTCTGCTCCGCTGACATCTTCTCTTAATCGCCCGTGTTGTGCTTTACACCAGCATGTGTCTCCGTCGGTGCAGGGCTAAGTGGTCGGATCTGGAGAAGCTGCGGTCACAGTCTGCGCATTTGAAGGGCTTGACCCCCGTGTGTTTCCTGTAATGCCTTGTCAGCTCGTCGGAGCGGGCGAACTTCCAGGTGCAACCGTCCCAGGTGCATTTGTATGGCTTTTCCCCTGCAGAGAAGAGCATCAGAAAGGAGAGTTAAGCCTTCCATACAATTAGGAAGACAACTGAACCACTGATCAGGCAGAACGTTATGGCTGCAGATGATTAAAAGCTCTAAAGTGTCTCCATGGATCAGGCATGTTTGTCCAGCACATCCAGCAGATGTTAAGCTAATTGTAGGGATATTTATTAGTTGTTCCTCTTACTTTCCCTGAACTGCCTTTGCTCTGTGATAACAGTGATAACAATCATAATGTTGTTTATTACCAACCAATTTAGGCTGTGGAATATGTAGTAATAACTCCCCCTGTATGACTAAAATGAAAACAGAAATCAGTGACATTATTCGTTAACGAATAAAAAACAGATAAAAAGATTTTTTTATCCATTCTATAGCAATAAAAATGGGTTTCATATCTGTTTTACTAACAATATACATTTTACCAATCATAACTGAGAAGGGTATAAATATGAAATAGAAATAAAAATTTAAGTAAAATTGATTTTCCCATTAGTTTTGCTTTCCCTGCCTTGTTTTCTGTCCTGTTGGTCAAGTGAAAATAATTTTACATTCAAATCTGCACGCTGTATGAAAAGTTTTGGTCTGTATATTTAAACAGGCCTAATGCCAATGTTACACAAAGACATTCTACGTTTTTTTTTTCTATGTGAAATAATAACTCACAGTTTGGGATCTTTTCACTGCTTTCACTATTTTTAACTCAACAAGTTTTATATTTTAGATGGAAAAACAAACTCTTGTTAGGCGTATTGCAAGATTTAAATTGGGAGATTTGAGCTACAATACTACAACTAAAACTAATTTGAATGTGCAGTAAAAATTAGGCACCCAAAGCCAAGAACTCTATGAGGGCCTACTCCACTCTGACATCTTTCACAGATTGCTTCCTCCTTAGACCAGTTTCGATGGATACCAACCTCAGAAAACAGAGCTGCTGTTTTGGTGATGAACTCACCCTATCAAGTCATTATCAAGCTCAATTACATCTTCAGTGGGTCAAAATCCCTCCTGCAGTGTGTGCAAACTTGGTGAATAACTACAGAAAAAGGTTTGACCTCTGTAATTGCAAACAAAGGCTACAGTACCAAATATTAACTTTCATTTTCTCCAGTGTTCAAATACTTATTTGCAGCTGTATCATACAAAATAAATAGTTCAAAATAATTTATTCTGATTTCTGGATATTGTTTTATGACAATTTCAGACCCCACCATGATTTCTAAATGGGAGAACTTGCAAAATAGCAAGGTGTTAAAAAACTTATTTTCCTCACTGTATATCCACATTCTGACTAATAAACACAACAAAAAAGATAATAAAATTGTGCATTTATCAGCACAAAGATTAAATAATAATAAATGATTAATAATGTAAACAGTGTACTTTATTCATTACCATTTACAACACACTAAACAATTGTTACTCACTTTTGAGGTATTTCTAATGTGCCTTGATTTTTTAGGAAAATCTTATTAAAACTAAAAAATTTCGACATATTATCTTATATCCGATTGGCGTTTATTATTTGTAGCATAGCTTTTAACCTGCTTCATTTGTTTAAATAATATCATTATTTAGGCAAATATCACTATAGTCCAAAAAGTTTCAAAGGGCATCTTTGGATCATTTATCATTGGATAAATGCAGGCAGAGTCAATCTGAGGTTATTTCTATATGGGAATGTTTTAATGACCAACATAAAAAACACATTTTTGTTTTTTGGTAAAATGTCAGCAAATTAAAAAAGGCACTCATTTTACCAATGAGTGTCTAATATTTCTAAAGAACCTTTTCTAAAGCCTCAAGCTACTGTACTTGAATAATTTATGAGTCAAGCTTCCTCTGACCCACTTTTTGTTGAAGTTGCCTCAACTTTAAAAAGCAAAGAAGAAAAAAAAAGAACAGCATCTGTGTCTGAATCTTTGGTTAAATAGACTGATCCACCATTAGTTTGTGGGGTTTATTCATAATTTTTAGTGGTACCCCATATTTAAGGTGTGCTTAAAACAAAAAGGATAATTTATTGCTAAATACGGTAAATACAATATGAAATTTAAGTGTGCTCATTAATTAAGAAAAAATATATCATGTTACTGCATGATAACAGTTTTATTGTATTCTTTACAAATCCCTTTTTTTCAACCAATAATAGAATCCCTAAAATCATCTGCAAAACAAATGTACTTAAATGTATATTTTATTTTTTCTTCACTTTTTGGATGTGATGAACCTTTAATTAGAAATAAATGATTTCCCATTATTGGGGTATAAATATATAATATAACATCTTTGAGCTGTTATTCAAAAAGGCAAAGATATATAAAACATACCATTAACTTGAGGTGGATGTGTGTTGATCAGTCACTAAACAAAAATCAAAGTGCGTATGTGATTTGATCCTCAGCCAATAATGTCTAAGGATGGGAAAACATTCAGAGATGCATTTAAAGTATGTTAAAAAATGTTTTTATTTTTTTCTATTTATTTTCTATTAAATGTGCTTTCTAATAATGTAGCATTAGGATTGGAGAGATAAGTTTATAGCACGGTTGACCTGTTTTGAAAATAAGTGGAAAAAATTCCAATTAGGTCTATTAGGAGAAATCTCAACAAGCTTGAATAAAGTAAAGCATATTTAGAATCAATGGATTTATGATGTTGAGAATAAAGTTCATATACTTAAAGAAATGGAAAATACTTCTAACGAGAGGACTATTATATACAAACGAGGTCAATACTCAACAAGAGCTAGTATGATGTGCATTTTTTTCTTAGATTTTTTGCACTTTAAGCTCAACTGACCATTAAATCTTGTATCCTTACTGGTAATAAGTCAAATATTTTTACATCCACAATAGGATGTAAAGATTTCATCATCGTATGACTTTAAGATAATTTAAATCTCACCCATCTTAGTAGGGGTGAAACAATTAATGGGATTAATTGATTATTGAAATAATCACCTACTAATTTAGTAATCGATTATTCATTAACTGGAGTACAGAGACTCTACAACATGCCTTTAGCTGACAGAGAAACCCACTTCATGCAGTAATTGCAAGAAAAATGTAAAAAATATATATCAATATTTAGCATTTAAGATAAAAAAAAAACTTTTTTGTCTATTAATATACTTTATCCAGAACTCCACAATTGGAAAAGTGGAGTTTGACCTAGTTTAATCATGTAAAAAGTCATCTTTAAGGAACCTTTTGCTATCCGATTATTATTATCGATTAATCAAAAAAATAATTTACGGATTAATCAATTTGCAAAATGATCGTTAGCTGGAGCCCTGCATCTTAGAACTGAGGAGAATCAACACTATTCAATAATATATACATATATATATAAAACAGAAAGCAGAGTGGACTGACCTGTGTGCGTCCTCCGATGCGCTTTTAAATGGGAGCTTTTGGTGTACACTTTATTGCAGCCCTCAAAGTCACATCTGTGGATTCTTCGCTTCTTTGAGTCTGGTGACTCTGACCTCCGAGGGCGTCGGATGCTGTCAATACTGAACGGCGACATGGAGCTGTAAGACAGATGACACTCATCAGAAAAAATCCCTTTAGAGAATTATAACGCTGTGATGAGAAGAGCAGCAGCACTGTGATGTAAAAGCTTACACAGCGGTGATTCCTGAGTTCATGAAGACAAGGGACATGTTTCTGTTTAAAATGATGCAAGAAGGTGAAATATTAAAGGAATGTAGTCCATCTTTAAATGCAAACGTTACAAAAGTTAAATAAAAAAAAAAAAAAAAGATGTCCCCTTGGGTATGTCGACCTTACTGTTTGCAACAGTCTGCAAACTGCAAAATAACTGCCTTCTTTCTAGCCATTTTTTATTAGATGATTGTGTCATTTACCATCAAAAACAAAAATCTTGTTTATAGGCATGAATGAAAATATAAATAATTTAGATGATATCTATGCAGAGATCAAGAGAAAAATCTGGTTCTGCAGAAAGGTTCAGTAAAACAGGGTGGTGTACTCCTAAAAACAAGAGTTTTATCAAATTAATGTCTAAACTTCTTACATAATACATCAAATTGGCCAATATTAGCAATGAATCAGAGAAAAGAACGGCTGTGAGTTCAAGCTGTTTTATTTAAAGTATTTAAATACACAGTAAACTTTGCATTTACAGTAAAAAAATCAGTAGTCATAATAATTTTCAATTATTTCAATGACAATAACCATTTCCTAAGTTTTTTTATACTATTTCAGTTTTTAATTTAAATGTATGTTTGATTATCCTGTAGTATGTTGCACTGATTTACATCTGCTTTTTGATTTGAACTGCTTAGTCTCAGTCCAATATTGTTTTATGTAAAAACATTTTCAATTTCTGCTTCTAGAATGAATACATTTTAGAAAAAGAATTATAAACAATAATAAATGTCAGAAATAAACATATATGTTGGGAATGGGTATTTAAGGGAAAAGAGATTAGAAGAGGTATCAAATTATGTTCCTCTTATATGATGTTAGCACTTTTTATTGACATCAATCTTCTATTGCATATGTAGCAAACCTACAGAAGGCAGGTCAGTAGTTTAGAGAGAAGCTGAGGTGAAGCTTTGCCAGTAGGTGGCAGTACGACTCTGCAGAAGAGTATCTGTGAGGCAGCAGCTGAGTTCAAGCCTTTTGGGTCAGCAGGAATAGTACAGTCTCTTCTCCCATTCTTGTCCAGTAATTCAAATACTTCCCTGATTAGTTCATGACACTAAATTAGGTGTGGATTTGTTGATTTTTCATTGCTAAAAAGGAAAACCCTAAGTCAGTAAATAGAGTTAGACTAAATGTTTAAAGTAAGTCTAAATTTAATCCCCGATTGTCAAAATTAGTCTTTACACAGTGAAGTGTAAAAGAGACAAAGGGTTGACTTAGATGGTGAGGACTTCATGCCTTGCCTGGGACAGTTGGCTGCAGAACAGAGCACCTTTCACTAAACGCTAAACACATGACTGCAGCACACACCCAGCCCAGAACCAGAGGCAGGAGATACACTACAGGGAGACAACAAGACAGTCTCTGTTTACTTAAGGGGAGGAGTAATATCTGTGAAATATATTTACCAGAGGAGTTTATGCTGTAGTGGGGCAGGTGAGGAGGGGGGTGGGGGTGTGGGGAGAAAGGAAGCACAGCTCTGATCAAGTTAAAAGGGTTGAGAAGAGGAGCAGAGGCTGCCAGACAGGCCCTCCTGTGAACTGTCTCCGCCACACACAATCCACTTCCTGTCTTGCTGTCTTTCACCAAAAGCATGAGCTGTCAAACACAGGCTCAGCCGTACAGCACAGCCGTACAGTGTGAGAAACACACAGAGATAGAAACGCAGCCATGAAAAACACCAAGCCACACTCCCACACACCATTACAAATCACCTGTTACTCTTGGCTTTCTACCAACCAGAAGCTGTACAGGAAATGAGCGCACGGGTCAGATATGAAACAAACTCATACTACCCTCTCTCTCTCTCTTTCTTACTCCGTTGCTCCCTCTGGGCTCGCAAACCGCGCGGAAACCAGATGTGAAAACTGTGCATTTAGACCAGAAACATACATTTGTGATGTCATGATACATCATCTAGTAGAAAAACCCATAAGTATTCATACCCTTTGAAAACATTTCTTAAATACTTTCAAGTTAGCTTCAAAAACTTGAATTGAAAGAACACATTTTGATAAAAAAAAGGAAAAGAGTCTATTATTTTTTGCCCTTTTTTAGAAAACACAGCTGCTGTAATCTAATACCGCTAAATAAAAGCCTTGTGCAAAAATGTACTGAGAGGTAATATAATAGTCCAGGAGGCTCTAATCTGATGGAAAATAATATCTCTGTAACAGAAAACTTACTAAAACTCATGAAACTGAACAAACCAATGATGGCAGCGTCATACTGTGGGGTTGGTATTTATACAGAGACAAGGAAGCTGAACTTTGGTTTATTACAGAATAATCATAGCATGGAAATATAGCCAGAGTCTGGACTAAGATCTAATTCAGTGTCTGCAACAAAACTTTAAAAGTTCGGTTTAGAGTTGCTCTCTGTCTAATCTTACTGACTCTAATTTTCCAAAGATAAATTTACACAAAGTGGAAACATATTTAAAAAAAACTTGCAACTCTAATCTTAACATTGACTCAGGGGGGCTTAATGCAAATGCACACTGTGCTTTTACTGTTCATTTTTCTAAATGAAATCTAGAAATATGTTTGTTTTCCTTCTACTTCACAATCATGTGACAAAATGTAAACAAGTTGAAGAAGTCTGATTCTTTATTTGCAGTGGACCAGCATTTAGCAAGTGTGCTAGACTACATGAGGGAGTGTGTCTGCTGGGGAAAAGTGAAGCAAGGAGCCAGGATTTACAATGGAAACACTCTAGGCTCAGACACCGAACAGATCAGGCAGATGTTTATATTCTGACTTCATCCTGACTTCATGATTACAATATAATGCAGAAAAATCTAAATCTCTTCATTCTGCTCGGTCTCTCTTTCGATAAGCAGATTCATCAATAAACACATCATTTTTCTCCAGCTGATTATGTCATTGGTTTGGCTGTATTTCAAGAGCTCAGTAACAAAGGTCATGTTTGCGCATGTTCGATATTTATGTCCCATTCAAGAGTTCACAGCTGCTTTTTGACAGGATTTAACATAACTTTATAAGGACTAATAATGAGAGATCTATTACTTTTTTCTCACTAACATCCTGCTTTTTGTTTCATCACGCATGAAAAGTGGAATATTTTGGTTCAGCATTGTTGGTCAGACTAAAATGTACTCTGCTGGATGGAATAACAAGGAGTGGAAAAGTTGTGCAATGCAAAAAAGGAAAAAACAAACATTGCAATGATTTGTTTTGCTCCTTTAGGGCCAGTTTTAAGTAATTCAAATGAAAAGATCCTAAAAATATAAGGTGATATTAACAAATAATGTGGCATTTTACCGATCAGAGTTATTAACTACTGAAAAAAATAGTGATTTAGTAAACGTGAGGAGTGAGTTCAAAAAGCCAAACTAAGCTGCAGGGATGTGCAGTCCCTCAGCTCTGTGGTCACTACGTGAGCTCAAAAACACGTCTGACAACAGCTGACTCTCACCACAGGTTGTTGCTGCTTTAAAAAAGTAGACATATTCAAAATATAAAAGCTAATAACATAAAGTAAAACACTTTACTTTCATTTTGTCACATTATTACCTCAAACTTTAGTGGATTTAAATAACATTAAATGAAAGAGTCAAATACAAGGCAGCACATTATTGTGAAGGGAAAGAAATAAAAACAAATGGGAGTTTTAAAGATCTGAAAAGTGTGGAGTGCATTTAGCCTCTTTTTTATTAAGATATCACTTAATACATTTTAGTGCAACCAGAAAAGCAGGGTTGGCTTAGAAAAAGCTTTGAAAACCTCAGAATTTCATCCATCATCCTAAACAGGAGGGCATGGTACAACCCTACCCTTACCAAAGCATGGCCGTCCACCTAAACTCACAGCCCGTGCATTTATCACAGAGGCAAGCGAGACGCCGAGGGTAACCCTGGGGTAAAATATAACTTAGCTAGAATAATCTGTCAACAGAATCACTATTACCGGTAGTTAAACAATCCACAAACATGGTCTTGGAGTTATCAAAATAATTAAAGGAGGAAACTGTTTGAAACAAGTCATAGGCGAAGGAAAACATGTTGAAGAAGGTGCTGCCCTCTGATGAGACTGTCTGACCTGCATTCACAAAGCTTTGGGTGAGCAAAAACTAAAGACCCTGAAGGCACCATCTGCATGGTGAAACATATACCCCTTTCACACCGGCTGAAAAAAAACATCTAAACCTGGTACACAATCAGCTTTTAGTGGCAGTGGGAACAGCTCACTGACGCGTGTCTACCCAGGTCAAACGACTCGGCAAGTGCCCCGCGTTAAAATCGCATGGGCTTTAATCGGCATGAAGTGGGAACACCAATGACGGATTGATCCACTAAATTATGTGATACCTTTGAGTGCATCGTACATATGTTACAATATCACGCCAGTCATGTGTTAAAAAACGAGCCCAAACAACTCTACTTTTATTCAAGAAACATGGCACAGCATTGGAAAGGTGGAGGGATTTGTCAACTCCTTAAGATCCGCGGAGACATGCATGCGGGGACAGTGGCCACTCAGCTGGCTAGCAGGGGGTCAGACTCGGCTTTTTGTTCAAATGGGATAAGAGCCAAAAGCCGATTGTCAGCGGGTTTACCTGGTTTTGACAAACCCGGGTTTTCAGAGTGAAAGCGGCTATAGTGGTGGCAGCATCATGCAGTGTGGGTGCTTTTCTATAACATCTACAGGTTAGCGAGTCAGAGTTCATGTGTAGAGGCGTGGCGGTAAATACATGGTAAACCTAGAAGTTTCCACAGAAGGAATTTAAAGCAGCACAAAGGTAGGATATGAGAGAAAACAAGCAACCAGAGCTAAAGTGGAATGGTCTTCTGACTTCTCTCATCATGACGCACTGCCCTTCTTTCTATCAAGGCAATGAG